ACTTCATCCACCTTGATCTACGCCAGCCCCTGAGGAAGGACCGTCATTGGTCCATAACAGCAGTCACGTTCTCTTTTGTCAGTGATTACTTTAGGAATGGACATATGTCCCAGTTCTGGTCAATGACAAATATGGGAAAATGTGACTTCCCTTCCCCAATTTGAAACAGAATTTCAAGAAGAGAGGGCATGATGCCTGAAGAAGTAGCATCTTGTGACCGTGAAGCAATAAGCCCAGGGCACAACAGAAAAACAGAAGATCAGCAGGAGCAGCATTCTCAATGATGCCATGAAGCGCTGCCCTCACCCTCCTCCAGACTTCTGGATAACAAAATGTTATTAACGTTTAAGTCACTGTTTCTTGCAGCCAATTATAAACTGGTGCAATCTCTGAGGAATATCAATTGTTGAGTCTGAGGACTCAACAATTCCACTTCTCAGAATATGGACGTGAACTAAAGGGGGGAAATGGGAGGAGGGGCGTGCAGGGGGGAGGGGAATGAAGGGGGGAATGAGACAACTGTAATGGCATAATCAATAAAATAAAATTTTTAAAGTTTCCCCTGCACATATACTCACAGGGTACTCAAAGAAGTACATTGAAATAAATTAATTACAACATTATGTATGTACCAATATGGTTATATTGTTTATGGCCCAGCTCTATGCTTGTCGGTAAGCGACGGTGGTGCAGCTACACTAAGTGAAAGAAGTGAGGTCAGTACTGGCTGAAGCTGGGTGATAGGCACATGGAGATTGTTATGCCATCTTTTTCTTGTAAACACTTTATGGAAATTTGAAATTTTCCAAAATATGTCCTGGCTGGTGTGGCTCAGGGGACTGAGCACCGGCCTGTGAACCAAAGGGTGACTGGTTTGATTCCCAGTCAGGGCACATGCCTGGGTTGCGGGCCAGGTCCCAGTGGGAGGCACACAAGAGGCAACCACGCATTGATGTTTCTCTCCCTCTCTTTCTCCTCCCCTTCCCCTGTCTCTAAAAATAAATAAATAAAATCTTTTAAAATTTCTTTCCAAAATAAAAAATTTTAAAACAAGGGACAGAAACAGTAGTGTGAATAGTATCACATCGTTTGTGATGTGTGTGTGTGTGTCTGTGCGTGTTTAAAGAAAAGAGACATAGCCATTGGTGAGTGCCCGGGCCCGAGTCCTGGTGCTGCTGGGGCACCCCAGGAACCAGCCTTGCCTATAGAGGGATTGGAGATTCCAAAAGGCATGGTCCCTGGTCCTGGCTTGGCAGACAGGACAGCATGACCTCCACCCCCTGGGCTCCGGGGTCACAGCTCCCTGCACTCTTGGAAGCAGTTTTTGAAACATGAATCTTTCACTCTTCCTGACTGCCATTTACCTAGGAATAGCTTCGGCTGTTCCAAAACTTGATGGAAGTTCAGATGCACCAGGGAAGCAGTGGAAGGCAGTGCGCAGGGAACTACACAGCTGGAATGAAGAAGGTGGAGGAGAGCAGTTTGGGAGAAGGACATGCTAATGACTGACCCACACAGCTAGGGATACAACCTAGGGAAACAGCGCTTCACCGTGGCAATGAATGCCTTTGTTCACATGACCAATGAAGACTTCAGGCAGGTGATGAATGGTCTTCAAAACCAGAAGCACAAGAAAAGGAAAGTGTTCTGGGAACGTCTTTTTGCTGAAATCCCTCAACTGTGGTTTGGAGAGGGGAAGGCTATGTAAGTCCTATGAAGAATCAGAATCAGAGGGGTTCTCATTGGGCTTTTAGTGCAACCGGTGCCCTCGAAGGACAGATGGTGTGGAAAACTTACAAACTTATCTCACTGCGTGAACAGAACCTCGTGGACTGCTCTCAGTCTTGAGGCAATAAGGGCTGCAGTGGTGGCCTAGTGGATAATGTATTCCAGTAGGTTAAGTCCAATGGAAGCCTGGACTCGGAGGAAACTTACTCATATCATGCAATGGTTAGACCCTACAAACACAAACCCAGGGGTTCTATAGCCAGTGACCCTGGCTTCACGGTCATCCATCAGCAGGAGAGGTCCCTTAGGAAGGCGATGACAATTGTGGGGCCCAACTCTGTTGCTCTAGATGGGAGCCATGCTGGCTTCCAGTGCTATGGAGAAGGCATTTATTAAGATCCACACAGCAGCAGTGAAGACCTAGATCATGGCACTCTGGTGGCCAGCTATGGCTTTGAAAGAGCAGAGTCAAGTAACAAACATTGGATTGTCAAGAACAGCTAGGGTACAACTAGGGGCATGAGTGACTATGTAAAGGTGGCCAGAGTCTGAAATAACCATGGGGGAGTCACCACTGAGATGATGGTGATGGAGTAAGTTTGCCCTGGCTGGTGTGGCTTAGTTGGTTGGAGCACTGTTCCATGGACCAAAGGGTCATGGGTTTGATTCTCAGTCAAGGCACATGCCCAGGTTTCAGACTTGGTCCCAGCTGAGGTGCATACAGGAGGGCTACCTAGACTGTGTTTCTTTCATATGGATGTTTCACCCTCTCCCTCCTTTCCTGTCTCTCTAAAAGCAGTGAAAAAAAAAATGTCCTCAGTGAAGATTAAAAAAAGAAAAAGAAGAAAGACTTGATTGAAGACAAGATATACGGAGGAGGAATTTTATCTTGAAACTGACCTTGTTTTAGTACATGCAGTAAAACACTTGATCTTGGAGATCCAAGCTGTGATTTGGACTCTGTGACATTTTACACTGACAAATGTTACTATTTCTATACTGGTAAAATGCTACCACTTCTTTAATTACTGCTGTAAACAGCTTTGTGTGATTGATTGACTTGCCTAATGAAATTTTATGTTTTAAAAGTTGGTTCAATTCCTGATCAGGGCACATGCCTGGGTTTGGGGTCAGGTCCCTGGGTGGGCGGGGCGTGTGTGAGAGGCAACCACACATCAATGTTTCTCTCCCTATTGGTCTCCCTCTCTTTACGCGTAAATAAATAATATCTTTAAAACAATCCATTAAAAAGTAAAATAAAATAAAACGTCATTTTATATGCAAAAAAAGAGAAAACAGATGTATGAAGGATAGAAAAAGAATACCCCCGGAAAGACAGAGCAGAAAATGGTAACAGCCATTCTATCCAGGGAGGGAAGTTGAGGGAATGGGAACTGAGTTTTCCTATGTCTTTGTCCGTTCGGAAAACTTTTTCAAATAAAATATTTTATTATATAGTATGTCATTAAAAATAAAAGAATATAATAATTTATTAATGAACCAAGGGCAAAAAAAATAGGTAGGTGCTAGACAGACCACACTGTCCGTACCCTCCCCGTGTGGTCTCAAGTGCTGCCTGGTGTGTACACAGTAACTGCTCCCAGTCCACCCTGTGACCCTAAGGAAGGAGTTGCTGCAACGAGTCACCTGGGGCTGCCAAGGTCCCGCGAATGAGCTAAATCCTTACAGCCAAGTTACAAAGATGTCGGGCACAAGGAGAGTTTCACTGTAGTGAGTGTTACGGCCTGTGTATGAAAAGCAACACAAAACGGAACTTCCATGGAAATGCAGAGATTTCTCTTCAAAATGTAATTTCACTGTAGACGCTTTTTAAAAGCAGAAAGGCCCAAAGAAGAGACATTAAAAATCTTCCCTCATCTCAGTCCCTGTAGTGACATCTTCAGCGCACATGTGTGTTGACATGTGTGTGATCAGAAAACACACCATTTTGCAATCTGATTCCTTCCAGTTCACAAAATATAATTATTTTCCCACATCACTAAATATTGTCCTACAACATAACATTCAATGTGTGCAGACTGCTCTCATGTGGCTTTTCAATGATCTCACCACTTTCCTATGTCGAACATTTAGTTGGTTTCCCACCTTCAGTCAATGCCCACAGTTTCTGGCTTCTACAGTCTACACCTCGATTCCCTGCCTTTCTTCAATAAATAGTCATTAAGCACAAAACCACCAGGCTCAAACAAAGCAGCTCTAAATGACATTTCTTTTAGGTATTTGGGGAAATTCAACTATATAAACTGGAATTTTCATGAGGCTGAGGAATGACTGTTGTGTGACAAGCACCTTGCAGTTGGGTAGAGACGCTGCCTTACTTTTCAGAGATGCACGCTGAATATCAGGATACAGAGACATGATGTTTGTAATTTGCTTTCAAATATTTCAGTCAAAAAATAAACGAGGCAAATCTGGAACAGTAATTGCTCAACCTGTTGCCTCCTTTTCTGGATGCTTGAAATTTTCTTTTAAAAATATGTCTCAAGAATGAAATACTTTATGCTGGGCACTAGGCTATGAACTGAGAATATAGCTGTGAGCAAAACAGACCCGTCCGGCCCTGGTGGAGCACACCGCCTCCAGGGAGTCTCCAGTCCCAGACTGCCCTCCCAGTGGCCTGAGACTAGAGGAGTCCCCAAACTCTGGGGAACTAAGACTGCGTGTGAAAAATCAGCTCTGTGGTGCACAGTGCACCCGGGGTTCAGTTTGGTGAACTTTCCCTGGGCACCCATGTGTGCCTGGCAGTATCAGGGTACAAGAACTTAAAAAGTGGGTTGCCCAGCCCCTACTTTGCCCTGACAGCCTAGAGGAGGAGGTGACACAGGTCACCCAAACCGGCCAGAAGGAGGGAGAGCTGGCTGGAAGAGCACCTCAGCTGGCTCCGAGGGGCCCCCCACAGCCATCAGTCCCCTAGAGGCCGACCCTGGCACCACAGCCTCACCAGAGCCTCACCAGAGCCTCCGACAGGGCCTGCAGGATTTCTTGCTCCTGCCAGTAGTCCCCAAATTTTCGGGGGTACCCAAAGGTGTGCGCGTGGCTCCTGGTGCCGCCTAGTCCCTCCCTCGAGGCCCGGGGCCTGCAGCCGCCCCTCCTGGTGCTGAACACGGGGTGGGGGCGGGAGCTGACGTTCAGAATGTTCAGGGCTTGCGGGGCAGGAGCTGGCGCTCAGGGTGATCAGGGCCTGAGGGGCAGTTGCGCAAGTTGTGCCTGGCCAGCTATAAGAGGGGCTGGCCGGCATGAAGCCCCAGAGGAATCGTGGAGCAGCTGCGAGGTAAGGCCCAGGCGCGCTCCCTTCTCCTCTACCGGTAGCTGTGGGCAGGCCACTTCTCCCCCACCCCACCTCGGCCCTCCGGGGAAACTGAGACGGGTGAAGGGAAGGGCAGAGGGCTCGGTTCTGGATCGTGGTAGCTTTGCACAGAGTTCTAACCAGAGGAAAGGCTACCGGGAGCCCAGGAGCACTGGATTCCACCTGGGCTGGGCTGTGCCTGTGCCCACGGGGCAGGAATCTATGCTCAGGGAGCCAGCCAGGGTGCGGGGAAATCGTCAGAGTCGGCAGCCCCACCGCTGAGGTGCTTTGGAAATTGCCCTGAGCACACCCCCAAAGATCAGGGTACCTCATTCCCACCTTGGGGTGGGGGATAAAGATGAGGGTTTAAGGGGGCATGAATAGGTTCATTCCATTTCTGAGGACTGGATAGAGCCTCGTTCTGTGAATAAGCATTATTTTCCAGGGGGGTGGGGGGTTCTCTACCTTTGCATGTGAGGGGCTGTATAAGGTGAACTTCATCTAGGAACAACACAACCATGGAAGGGTGGGGGGAGGAATGGAGAAAAGGAGTCAGGAAGAAACCAAATCTTCCAGAGGAATTGTGCTGGGTCTTACCACTTCTGGTCTCAAAGCTGTGTAGATTGCCTTCCTCACACAGGAGGAGATAGGGTTTCTCTGGGGGGAAGAACAGCGGGTCATGGGAAAGGCTGGTTACCCACACTTCTCGTTGTTACCACTTCTCTAGCCAAGACCACCAGGTATGCACTGTGGGCAGGTGGGCCCCCGATGAGAACTACCGGGCCACCTGCCACCTGCCCTCCCTCCTGGCTTGGTTTAGATTTCGTTGTGGGGGTGGTTGTCTTTACACTCCAGTTTCTATAGCTTAAAGATGGTGGCACTTTAGCAAAGTGGCTCCTGAGATACAGTTAGACCGGAGTGCCACGGACAGCCTGGTTGTCCTTGGAGAACGGCAGTTTTGGAGAGACAAGATGATTGTTTTCCGCTGGAAGGAAGGTCTTCCGGGGGAGGTGGGGCAGAGGACAGGGACTTGAGGTCACCACCCCAGGAGCACAAGCTCAGCAATGCCCCTTTGTGGGAACCGAGCGCCCCTATTTGTTCTACAGAGTTCTGTAGTGGGCAGCGGTCCCTGGGACTGGTGGGAGAGCGGGTGCCCCGTCTCCTTAGTCTGCAGAACCACTGTCGCTCCCATCCTGATGTCCCCATGAACGGCAAGGCCATGCTGACCATTTGCCACCTTTTGGTAGGGGGAGAAGGCAAGAGAAAAATTAAGTTTTTAGGTTCTTTCCTTTTCAAGCAGTTGAGAACATTGGGCCGAGGCATGTTTCCATGTTGGCAAAAGGAGTCCTTCTCATAGTTTGTACATCTTATGCCCAAAATAACTCTTCTTGGTATTTGGGGGAAATACCTTCCTCCCACTCCGTTCCAGGAAGTGGCTCCCAGGGCCAAGGACAGAGCCAGGGAAATTGCAATTAATTTGGCCCATCAGCCCCAAGCAAATGCCGATCCTGTCTGGGTGGACTGTGCAGGGTGCAGAGGTGGCCACTCGGGAGACCTCCCCTCACACAGCCAGGGACTGTTGTCCCTACTCCAGCCTAGATGCCACCCAGGGGAGCGTGGTAGTCAGGGAGAGTGAAGGGGTCCAGGGAGTTAGGGTCCTCACGGTGTGGGCGTCCTTGAATAGGATGCGTGCAATTTAAACAAAAATCGAGCCAAATTCTCTTGCAGTCAGTCACTAGTAAGCCCTGTCCCCACCAGTGGTGGGATTCCAGTGGCAGCAGCTCTGTTCTGGCCTGCCAGCCAAGAGCCTTGAAATTCTTTTTTGTCCACACAGCTGTCTCAGAGAAATAGAGAGAGAGGTTGTTTCTGCTTAAAAACAACATACCTGATGCCTGAGCCCATGGAGTCCTTCGCACTTATTTCATGTGTGACAAGAGCAATACCTTGCTTTTCAGGAAACTGCATTTTACAGTCTTTTCTGCTCAGTTTATCAGCTTTTGGGAAGTGAATCTGTGACGGGTGCCAATGGCAACATCTCATCCCACAGACTCCTTCATCCCCATCTGGGCGTGCATTGCGCTTATACTCCGGGGTGTACTCTAGGGGTGCCAAGGAAAAGGGGAGAAGTCCCAAGGAAGACAGGAGGGGCAGAGCAGAGGTCTCTGAGACAGGCAGGAGGCCCAGAGCACAGGACCAGGAGCCAGGCTGATGACTGGGGCCAAGGCAGGGGGCGCCTGAGACAACAGTCAAGGCGAGGCACAACCCAGGAAGCTGAAGGGAATCAGGGCCAGTGAGGTTCTAGAAAACACATATGAGGGGCCGGAAGCCAGCCCAGGTCCCAGTGAGAGAGAGACGTGCATGCTGAAGCACTTCCTGTTTTCAGTAAGAAAGCTTTTAGGGCCCTGACCGGCCTGCCACAGTGGGTGGGCTGTCATCCCGTGAAGAGAAAGCTCCCTGTCTGATCCCAGGCTGGGATATATGCCCAGATTGGGGGTGTGCAAGAGGCAACTGATCCATGTCTCTCTCCCTCTCTTTTTCCCTCCTCCTCTTTCTAGAAATTAAAAAATACATATTTAGGAAAGAAAAGAAAGCTTTTAGGAATTTCTGCTGTGCAAAAGTGATGCGGCATTAAGATGGGGACAGGCAAACCATCATAGAAGTAGGTTAACCTGGTTAGACAACAAAGATCAGGGACGGGAAATATATTTCATTTATTTATTCAATGAGTAGTTAGTGAGCATTCGCTCCGTGCCAGGCCCTTGGGAGATGCTGGAACAAGGGGCGTACCCACCACTCCTGCACCCGGCAGACATCACTAATTGATCCCAGCACCCTCTCCCTCTGAATCTGGGTGGAGCTTCAGACCCCCCTCCACACAGTGCTGCAGGGAGCCCACTAACAATTGATTGGAGCTGACCCAGAAACTGAAACTCACTTGTTTTCCCTGATAACACATGGGATCGGATCTAAGGGTAGTTTCTGATGAACAGGAATTATATAACCCCTCACACCAACGCCCTGGCTACTGGTTAAGTGTGTGAACATGATTTCTCAAATGAAGCTCTTGATTGCAAATAAGAGAAAACCACTCATGCTACTTCTTGCTTTTCAAATAATGTAGAATATTTATCGTGACCAGCATGTAAAAAACAGAATGGAGATTCTCAAGAGTGAATCTTTTGAGATTACTATTCACCCATAGAAAGGGTGAATTTTATTTCTCAACATTCGTTTCTCTTACATGCGGGTGGCTTTAGGTCTTCTGTTTGAAAAGTATATTCAGAAAGTTGAAAGCTATTCAAATGAGTGTATGTGGAAAAGACTACTTCATACTGGAGGTTAAAGACAGGGGGGGCCACCAAGCCTCAAGAGGGCCCAGAACCTACCAGATCAGGCACCAGAAAGATCAGGAAGAAGAGCAGGCAGTGACTGTCACCCGCCTGTCACTGGTTGGGTGGACACTGGCCTCTCTCAGCTACTCCATGCATGCAAGGCCAACCGTGGCGACCCCGGCGCTTCCAAAACCACAGCAGAGACAAATGGGGCTCTGCTTAAATTCCTGGGAGAGGCTCCAATGGACTCAGTCACGGGTTGGGGGAGGAAAGACAAGGAAAGGGAGCAAAACAGGGCATCCTGGTCCCTTGCCTACCACTGGTCATGCAAACACGGCCTCCAGGGCTCCTGTGTGTGTGTCCCAAGTACGGCAGATCCCCACAAGGTCCCTACTACACATGGAAGCAGGCCCAGGACATTCTAAACCCCCTGCCTCCCACACTTCCACCATAATGATGCATTCTCCCAGAGCCACTGTAGTGTTCCGCATCACCACACTGTCCCTTCAGCCTGGACCCCCTGCCTGCCCTCTTTCCCCTGGGAGCTCCGTCCTTCAGATCTCGGTTCAAATGCCTCCTCCTGTGCACAGCTGTCCTCATCCTCTCCTTTACTCCCCAACTCCTGTGCTCCTTCCCTCATAACCTTCAGTGGGTTGTGTTAAACTGAGTTGTTTAAGGTTCTATCTCTCCCTGTGGATTCTGTGTAACTTGAAGGGCCAGGGTCCAATCTCCTCTGTCTCTATTCCTCCCTTGTCTTTTCCCTGTCCCCAGATCCCTTCCAGTTTGGAGTTATGGAAGAAGGAAGGGAGGGAGGGAGGGAGGGAGGGGTCCATGGGAAGAATATCCAATGCTTTTTTTTCTCATAATTAACAACAAACATCACATTACCTGGACTGAATTCACGCTAGCATGCCACAGGTCACCAGAGACAGGTATAAAAACCCCGATGGCTGGAGAAGGGAGAGAGGAGTGTGCTGGGTACCTTGCTGACCTCCAGAACTTTCAAACCAGGAGGCAGCAGAGGAATTTGGATGGCGTGAAGCTAGCAGCCCCCACCAGTAAACCCTCTGTGACCCAGGGCTCTCCCTACCTTCCCCCGCTGCTGTCCTCAGAAGGCTGTGGGCAGGCTCAGCAGACCCTCTAGAGAAGCCACCCCCTACCCTGACTAGAGGCCCCAGCTTGGCCCGCCTCACCCCCCAGGACAGAGGGAAGGTGAGGGAGCTCACATCTGGAGGCTTCTCAGGGAAGCAGGAGGCTGCCTGTCTTTGGAGAGTGAGAAGGCAGAGGTGGGGAGGGGGCCTGGGGGGACCTGCCGAGTGGGGACAGGGAGCAGAGGGGGGCAGGGTGGAGGAGCTCAACTAAGAACCATAGAGGTGGGGCCAGTGCCTGGCCCCCAGGTGAAGTCAGAGAGCGGGAAATTGTGGTGGGGCAGGCGGTTGGTCACACAGGCCTCTCCCACCGGCCTGGAGCCTGTTTTCTGTGATCACATTTCATTACCTAGCGCTGCCCTGGGGGGGTCCATTTTCTCTCTTTTCTTCTCCGGTGCACCCCTGGCAGGGGGTGATGGTAGAGCGGCTGGGGAGAGGCAGGCTCCTAATTAAAGGACAGAAGAGGAGAGAGTGGGGGGCTGGCCTTGGAGTGGAAGGCACAGCCCAGAGGCAATGGTCCCTTGACCCCCCAGCTTGGCCTCCCCCAAAGGCACCCCTCTCTGTCTCCAGGCTCTGCTTAAAAAACAGTCAGAGGAAAAAGGAAAGAGACAGGTTGTTGTGTCAACACTTCAGCAGTTCATCTTAGAAAAATGACAGCTCCTAAATGTTCAAAACCACTTTGGAAACTTCCAGAGAGAAAAGGCTTTGCAGCCCAGGCTCACTTCCTCCCCTCCTCCCCTTCTCCCCTCCTCCCCCTCAGCTCTCTCTGCTCACTCCTGTGGCTGTGCCAACCAGCCCTCCTGGGTCTATCTCCAAGGTCCTCTTTATCTGAACTGAGAGTCCCTTTCCCAGCCATCAGCAGGATGGGGCCACCTGAGGTCCCACTAGTCCAAGCAAGTCCGCACACCTCATACCCCCATTTCCAGACCCATCTTCATGCTTTTTCCAATTTCCATCCCCATTTTCTTGTCACCCAGCCAAAAACACTAGACTGAGAGTGATCAGCGCTCCCCACTTACACAGAAAGAAGCCTCTCTACCTGCCACTTACGCCCACCCCCTCCTGCCTCCTCATCCATCACACCTCCCATGCCGCTGCCAGCCACCATCCCCAGAGCCCGCTGCTGGGCTATGCCTCTCCTCCACCTTTGCAAACCCAATTTCTTCTCTCTCAGGGCCCTTATCAAATGCCACCTCCTCCGAGACGCCTTTTTTGATTTCTTAGTTGGAAATTATGGCGATGCCAGCTGGCCAGTATTAGGGTTGATTAGCCATGTGTATTACCTTATTGTGTCCACCACAGTCTGAGGTGGGAACTGGGATTCCTGTGATCCCCATGTAATAGCTAAGGAAAGAGTCTCGGAGAGGTTAGTGAGTTTTCCTCAGGTCCTGCACTCCAACTCACGGTTCTGCCCGACGTGAGAGCTCACTGTTTGAAAAAGAACGACTCCCTGCGAGTCACCCGTCTACCCATCTAAATGCTCTTCCTTGCATTGTACTTAATTACGTAACTTTTTAAACCAGTTGTTTAAGAGCAGAGTTTTGCTCTTTGCTTTTATGTTTAACAAATGATTTGCGTAAACAGTGGACAACATTCAGTACTGTGGAATGCTCCACAGGCTTCCTGGGGAGGTCCCCAGTCTCCGCAGCCCCCTTCACCCCAAGACTGATTCCTACTTTCCTGTGGTTCCATGTTTCTGTCACCTCTGTCACCTCTGTCCCTGGCCCACAGCAGGTGATCAATACGTGTTAGCCGTCAGCCATCAAATATATGATGAGTAACTATTATGCATCAAGTGCCAGGCTCAATGAAGCTGTAGTTGCCGCCTTGATTTATTCCACCCCACTCCCTAAGTCTGCTCTTCCCAGCAAGTCCCCTGTTTTGGGGTCACAGCCAGGTCCCCGTTCATTTACTGATGCTCCGTGAACCAAGGAAAACTTCGATTTACTCTTTTCTGCTGCCCATGTCCGGGTGTATAAATCAGTTAGCATTAAGGTTGGCCGCATTTACCAGAGATCCCAATGGCTTTACCAAGTCAGAGGTTATGTCCCTCACACGGTCCAAGGCCAGTATAGCATCTCAGCTCCACAAAGTCCTCAGGGACCCGGGCTCCTCCAGCTCCCTACCCTCTGTTCTTAAGGTGAGGCCGTAGTGCTCCTGATTCAAGACAGCACCTGAACACCAGCTACTGCGCGCACAGTTGGGGCTGCAGGGTGGAGGAAGGGGCGAAAAAGGCAGGCACACGATAGGAGAGCTGCCGCAGGGCACTTTAACTGGCCGTGATTTAGTCACGTGGTCGTATCTAGTTGGGAGAAGCTGGGAAGAGTTCTAGTTATTCCGCATGGCTACATCCCTATCTAAACGTGGCTGTCCTGTCACTTGGGAAGAAGGGGAGACTAGATACTAGAGACAGCTAGCAGCCTCCACTAAGAGGGTTAGGTGTGTTGGTGTGTCCGTGTGGGTCTGTGATAGGTGTGTGATGTGTGTGGACGTGTGTGTTACGTGATGTGTGTTGGGAGGCCAGCTCCTTCCTCTCCATCACTTTGCTCTCAGACGGACCTGTTACCAATTCTCTCCGCAGCCCCCACGATGCTCCCCTTAGGCAGCCTTAGCAGCAGCTTCTCAACATTTCAAGGAACTGCAATTTATTTTCAGTGTCCACTGAAGCGTATCGCCCATGGTGATACAGAGGGTTTGTAAACTGTTTCTCCATGAAGGTATTAAAGGGTGGCCATTATGTGAGAGCAACTATGACCGGCGTTAATCTGGTAATAAATTCTCTTGGTAAGGAGGGTGCCGTTAACACATAAATCCTAGAAAAGGATAGGACTCAATCTTGTGCGCAGGGGGAATATGCAGAAACATCGGGTACCCTGTTGAGCTAGCCCAGGAGTACAGCTGGCCGCACGTGGGCTTGCTTTAGGGTCGGCTACGGGTAGTGCCTGCCCAGCCGTTGAAAGCCCAGTAGTTACACATTCAAAGACAGCCGGCATTTACTCCCTCCAGCTCCACCCTTCTCCACAAACACACACGTCGGCCAAAGGCTTTCCAGGTTCCTGTTATTTACCCTTTGAGTCAGGTGGTGTTATCAGTTCCATTTTACAGATGGAAATGGGTGCTTTAGGGAAGCAAAGCATGTTTCACAGAGCTACACAGCTAATAAGGGCAGAGCCTGCTGCCGAAGCCTTGGGGCCTGACCACTACACTGTCTGCCGTCACTGGGGTTTCACGGCTGGGGGTAGCATTATTTAACTCTGTTCCACAAAGGTTTGGTGGCAATGCTTATGCAGGTAAGAAGTAGGTAACAGAGGGAGTTTTAACTTCTTCAGAGAGAAAACAAGCACAAAAACATCTGAAGGGCCCCCTCCCAAATTCCCAAGTATTTTTCATATTTGGGGTTGATATGAGGGTACACTCTAGCTTTGTCTGGGAGCAGGGCATCTGTTCCCAAGTGCCATGGTCCTGGGAGCTGCTCTTAGCGGGGCACTGGGGTGGTTTATAATTTGGACTTTTCCTTGAAAGTTGGAGACGCTGGTTTGGGGGGAGGTTGAAAGGGCCCCAGTCTTTTTGGGGGAGGCAGCCCAAAGTGTGAATTCCGACTCTGCCACTCACCTGTTGGACTTCGGGTAAGTGGACGCATGTCCTTGAGCCTTACTTTATCCCTTGCTATGAAATTCATAGTTAAAAAAATACCTTTGATTAAGCATTATAATGGTATATAAACAGACTGCTGATTTCTACTATATTACCAGCATAAGAATTATACTAATAATGCCACCTATGGACAGAAAATGTATCATCTCTTTTTATCAGGACCCAGATGAGGCAGAACAAAAAAAGCAGATTAACATGTTTGCCATCCCCAGACCCTTCCTGCTACCATTTATTTACACTAATTAGTATTTCAGGCTCTTCCACATATACTTAGCAGGGATCATTGGCCACAGGCTCACAAACATTTAACTTTATTACTTTTTGCCTCATTGCCTCCTGTACTGCATTAAAACTTTGCAGTTTAATCAAGGATCAGCATTCTGTTAATCTTAGAATTCATGGCTCCATGGTGCTGAAAGTTTCCAACATTCCAGGAGAACATGTTAAATGTTCTCTTCTGCCTCTGTGCCTTTGCACCTACTGCTTTCTTGGCGATTATTGGCAACCACTTTTTATTTTTTCTAACCCCTGCCCTTTAATACCCAGCTCAGGTGACACCTCTTCCAGGAAGCCCCTTTTGACTCCTGTGATATCCTGTACTTGTTCTTCTTGCAAAGCTCTTTTTTCCTGAATCAGAATGGCCTGTTTAGCCGTTTATCTCTCTTAGCGAACTGCAAGCGACTTGAGGGTAGAGAACACCTGCAGTTCACTCTTGTGACCTTGGTCCCAGAACATCCTGTGACTCATGGTCCAACCCTCCATAGGCAGTGGTTGGATTCAGACTCCCAGTGTGAGAGGGGGAAGCAATAAAGCCAGTGACGACTGCCATCATGGAGGTGCCTGCAGGCTGCTGTGGGAGGCTCGGGAGGACCAGTCACCTCATCTCTAAGAACAGGGTAGGGATAGAGTACAGTTCACAGACCTTTACAGCCCTTTCACACGCATTATCTAATTTGATCCTTATAAAAGCCTGGAGGTAGGTATATCACAGGGGATAAAAGGTAGAGTTTTAGCAGTTACATGATTTGCCTAAAGTCTTACAATGGGTAAACGGCTGGATATACACCAGACCTTAAAAGCCCACTCTCTTCCTTGAAGCACATAATGAAGTCACATTGGCACCATTATGCCCATTGGCTCACACCCTGGCTTACAGCTCTGTGGTCTACAGTGCACCTCCACGGGGTTTCACTGACCACGCCTCGCCTTTCCCCAAGGAAGTGCTTTTTATTCGTGTATTTTTAGATAATGAATCGTCCTGGACTCTGAGGAGATGATAAGCAGGGCAGAAAGCAAATCTCATTTTTATCTGTGTCTGATAATGTGGTTGGTAACAGGGCCTGTGTGTGTTTTCTGAAATAGCAGCAACTTACGATGTGCGGTTCCTTTGGTTTGCAGGCCCAAGAAGCACACCTGGGAAGGAAAATGCACTGCGGACTCCTGTGCCGATTCCTGTGGCTTTGGCCCTACCTGTTCTGCCTTGAAGCTTTGCCCATCCACAAAGTCCAGTATGACACCAAAACCCTCATCAAAACGATTGTCACTAGGATCAGTGACATCTCTCACACGGTAGGGAGGGTCTGGGGAGGCAAAACAGAACTGTGGCCGTGGGGACACTGGGACCTCAGAGGTTACTGAGGCCTGTGCAGTGACACATAGGGGCCGTGGTGGCCTTGACTCCTCCTACTGTGCGAACAGTTGCCTCTCCTCTTCCTTCATCAGTCTCCACCTACTTACTCTTCTTCCTCTCTAACTGGAATCCTAGTGCCTGGGATTAGAGGGAGCCCTAAAGGCTCGTGTGTCCCATTGGCTGGTGACCAGACCCCCAGCAGCATCCCCTCTGGGGTCTCCATTGTATCTCTAGAATGTGCTTAGCAGTAGGTGATCTTCCTCATTGTGGCTGAGCTCTGGCCCTGGAAAGACTCCCCATTACTGCTACGGCCACACAAAGAACAAGCCTACCCCCTTCGCGGTCAACCCTCTGGTATTTGGGAACAGCTATCAATGCCCCTTGGGGCTTTGCTGCAGGATCCACAGCTTAGACCTTCAGCCACTTCCCACTTCTCCTCCTACCTCTGTTCTCTATCTGGAAAACCTTAAGCTAGTCCCTCAACACCTTTAAGACTTGGTTCTATTATCTAGATAATGGGACTCTCCTGTGGTCTTCATGAGGTCATTATGAGATTAAATTAGAGGAGGCAAGTGACCCCCCACCCTCCCTGCAGAAACAGAACCAAGTGTGGCCTCAGTAAAGGTTCGTAGTATGGTTTTGCTAGTCCCCAGCCTTAACAGCCTACTGTTTTTCCTGGGTGGACTTCCATGTCCCCTGATCACTGTGGATGTGATAGTGACCTTGGGAAGGAAGTTAGGTGGCCAGAAGAAGGGACAACTCAGCTAGATAGACTCTTGGGCATTTTACAAAGAGAAGCCCTTAATTCTCCTTGCTCTCAAAATAGTCATTTGACAAGGTTGCCTGTGATAGGAATGGAACGTCCCTCTTGTGTGGTACAGGGAGCGAGTGCCATGGACAGTTGGGAAGGGGAACCCCTCTTGGTAATCATAGTTATTGGAGCTGAAGGAGAGGTGACACACTCGCTGGGGATGACCTAAGGGTGAGGTCTGCAGAGAGTCTGGCTGAAGGGAGGAATGTACTAGGGGAGGAAGGAAACGAAGATGGCTGGGGAGGGCGCACTTATGGAGGACCCCAGCTCCTGGGGAAGGGACTTAACTCAGGATGAAATAGGGAATCACGGCTGGTTCTATAGCAGAGGCCATTCGGAGAAGGGAGCACCCTGCAAAGGGTGGTCTGGAAGTTGGAGCACAGGGTGGTTTGGGAAGGGCAGGAGGACAGAAGTCCAGGAGACCCTCTTTGTGGCTTGGCAGCCACCTGGGCACAAGAAATAAGGGATTAGGCTGGATGGTGTGGAAGGTGGAAAGGAAGCAACTAAGGGAACGAACCTCCGTCCTCAATGGAGAGGCCTGGGGCTTTAGAGAATTGACTTGTCTCTCACCTCGCTGAGCTCTTTCTTGTTCTCCCTCTTCGTCCTGCATAGCAGTCGATCTCCTCCAAACAGAGGATCACGGGTTTGGACTTCATTCCTGGGCTCCACCCTGTCCTGACTTTGTCCGGGATGGACCAGATACTGGCAATCTACCAACAGATCCTCACCAGTCTGCCTTCTGGAAGTGTGACCCAAATATCTAATGACTTGGATAACCTCCGGGACCTTCTCCATATGCTGGCCTCCTCCAAGAGTTGCCCCTTCCCCCAAACCAGGGGGGCTCTGAAGACCTTGGAGGACCTGGACGGTGTCCTGGAAGCCTCACTGTACTCTGCAGAAGTGGTGGTCCTGAGCAGGCTGCAGAGGTCTCTGCAGGACATGCTACAGGAGCTGGACTTCAGCCCTGAGTGCTGAAACCTTGAAGGCTTAGAGAGAGCCTATGTGGACATTTCTTATCTCGGCCTCCAGTCCCTTTCTCCCTCACTACTCCAAGCCTCGCTCCCAAAGGCCAGCTCTGCCTGGGCTTGGCCACAGCTGGCCACCAGTTTATTCAGGCAAAAGGACCCCCCGAAACACAGGGCTGACAAATGAGCACGTGCTGCCCCAGAGTGAGGGCGGGTCTGCAAATCATCCTTGAGAAGCACCCAGTTTATAAATAAATGAATAAATAAATAAAATCCAAGCAAACAAACCAAGACATGTGGCTCAATAACAATCTCAACTAGATACACAGACTCGAAAAGACGGGACTAATCTTCTTGTGGGCGTAGTACATTAATGCAGTTCATTAAGGCCTCAGAGTTTCAACCCAAGTCCTGGGGTGGACTTGGGGGCTGGCCCATCCAAGGAAGTCACTTCCATGGTGATTTCAAGAAACCCCCTTTCTGAACATCTTGCTGATTACTCTGGAGATTTAGTGAGACAATGACCCAGCACAGTGTCTAGTTCACAGTAGATACAAGCGGACCTCCTTCCCTTCACCTCACAATTAGCAACAGGCTTTAAATGTCACTGAGCCAGCACCAGGGGCACATGGACACAAACTCATCTTTGCTGTGGATGACAGAGGCCAAGTCTTTCCTGTAAACTAGCTTAGGTGGAGGAAGAAGGGGAGACCCATGAGCAGGGACAGTCAGATGTGGCAGAAGCAGCCTAAATGGGTCACTTGGCAGCGGGGGAAGTGGCTGGCTTCTGTATCAGTCAAGACTGCTTTAGCTGCCAGTGACAGAAACTCAAGGCAAACAAATACCAAAAAAGAGAATTTTTTTGGCCCATTGCTGAGAAGTCTAGGCCATGGTCCATCTCTTACAACACTTCCTTTGCACTTATCCCCAGGGACCCAGAAGGGGCTAATGCCATGATCCAACCCCACCCCCGCCCGCCTGAGGTGGGTAACAGAGGGTTGGGAGCGACTCATGTGTTCCTTCGGTGGCCACCTGGGACTGAGAAGCCCCTTCCCTCCTCCCAGCCCCAGCGGCTCCGGAGGCCAGCCCACGGCGGCGACGTGCCTGTGAACAGAGGCCTGGAGACACCATTCCCTCCTCTGTGAGGTGACTCCCGGGGTCAGCGTGGAAGGGCCTGCTCCTCGGATTGCCCTTCCACATCCTTCTCCATCCTCAGGCATTCTCTTGCACTCCCCTGAGGCAGCAGCTCACATCTGCCAAACAGCTGGCGGAGTCTGGGGGCAGCACCTGGCCATGTTTGACCTCCCGAGTCAGGACTTTTGCAGAGTCTAGTGAGAAAAGCATCGGGTGAGCCCAGCAGGACCTTTCAGCAGACCCTGTCCCAGATGCTTGCCGCACAACAGCTTACAACGAAAAAATAATTACACCTCGTTTTTCAAACGGACAGAGCAATTTATCCCAGACTTTCAGCATCAGGATCTAAGTCTAGTGATTCCTGACCACACAAATCCACCTGCGTTAAGTTCACCGGTTCACTGTCATTCTCAGTCCCAGGGGTCCTTGCCCTGGGAACTTCCCACCTCTGGCCTGAGAATGGGAGCACCAAGGCTAGACAGAAGGTAACGGAGGCCCCACGCCCAGCTCAACTCAACCCCAGCTCCCACCTCAAGCCCAGCTCTCAGCCCAGAGCGCGCTCCACCCTTAGGCAAGTTACATAAACTCTCTTACCTTCAATTTGTCATCTGTAGAGGAATAAGATCATTTCCTAGTAGGCCTTCAGAAGATTAAATGATAAAGTGTTTGGGAAGCTAATTGTTTAATGATTGATATACAGAAAGCGCTTAATAAATCATGTGGTTATTAAGTATTAATGAGCCAGGGGAGCAAAAGGAATGGGACTTGCGTGGCAAGCCGGATGCCCTGGCTGCCTCTGACATCAGCCGTGCTATGCGGTCCCTGGCACAGCCAGCACTCCTCCTCCGCCCTCCCCGCTTGGACACCTCGGGGAGCCCTCTCAGCCCATACGGTGCAGCTTGCACATGAGGGGGGAGATCGTTAGCCTCAGAGGAGCCGATCTCAACCAGTGGGGGTGAAACTCTGGGTAAATGCCCCAGCCTCCTGCCATCCACAGGGGCAATTCTGAGGTGCACTGTCCTCAGATCGAGCCCCAGGTGCCCACGCCAGTCACCGTCAGCGAGGCACTCTCAACTGTCTCTTCCTCCTTCCCCGTCTCACTCTCCCCGCCCCTCACTCCTGCTTCCTAGGGTCACCTCTCAAATATGCCTTCTGTGACAGAACCCTCATCTCAGGTGCTGCCCTTGGAGGAGCCCAGAGTAAGACAACTTCAGAGCAAAAAGAAATGGATTTGGATGCTGGGAGGACGGTGAGAGCTGCAGGAACCACACACTGAAACTCAGACAAACCCTGGGCTGTCCCAAGGCCTGAGGCCTATGAGAGAAAAGACAATGGGGTCCCCAGGAAGAAGGGAATCCATTTCAGGAAAGCTCGATGTATTAGAGAGCAAGAGCAGGAAGAGAACCTACTAGAACAGAAGAATTACAAGATAGGAAGGAAGGGAAGAAGGAAGGAGGGAGGGAGGGAGGGAGGGAGGAAAGAAAAATTAAAGTGAAGAAATATGTATAATGTTACACCATTCGTGAAGGCTCTGCACCCATGACCTTTGCCTCCCAAAGGCCCCACCTCCAAATATCATCACATTCAGTGTTAAAATTTAACACATGAATTTGGGTGGTGGGGGACACAGACGTTCAATCTGTGGCCCAATCTTAGGATAACTGATTGGAGACAGGAGCAGATGAAATCAGAGGAGTCTGCCCTGGCTGGTGCGGCTCAGTCGGGTGCAGCGTTGTCCTGTAAGCAGAATGGCGTGGGTCGAGCTGCGGGTTCAGTCCCGAGTCAGGGAGGGGGTCAGCGTTTCCCTCTCTCTTCCTCCTTCCCCTCTCTCTAAAATCAGGGGGCATGTCCTTGGGTGAAGATAAAAACATTTTTCAATCAAAGGAGTCTCAATAAGGGGACCTGATACTGGCAGTTCTTCCTCCACTGAGCGCCCGTAGTCCCGCACACCCCTGCGCACCAGCCCACCGGAAATCGCTTCTGCGGGGCGGGGCGGGGCGGGGCGGGGGGGGGGGGGCTTCCCTTCCCCGCCACACGCCTCCTGCCCGGGGCTGTGAGCCTCTGTGGGCAGGTCACCTCATCCAGCGCTCGGCCGTAGTGTCTGCAGAATACAGGCCCTCTGCTCTTATTAAAGGAATTGTGGTGCTTTATAACAAGCTCATTATTTACAGGTAAGCAAACTGCAAAAAGCCCGAAAACTGTTCTAACCATTAAAGGTTAACTTTCTTGTTAGAATTCTGCTCACTCTTATTTTCTCAGCAGACTTCTTTTTTGAGATCAAAAATATAGTCCAAACCCACTGTAAGAAAGACAGCTTTGAGATAAGGACAGAATTTGAATACAGCTTCTGTTTGAGATTGTGATAAGAAATTAGCTAATTTTATTAGCTGTGGTGATGACAGAGTGACTAATTATTTTTAAATGCTTCTTTATTCATTAAAGATTCAGACCGAAATGGCTTAGAGTAAAATGAGATGATATCTGAAATTTGTCTTAAAATACCCCAGGAGAATACATATGTATTTTATTAAATATATATGTGAAGTTAGATAAACGTTATTGGCAAAAATGTCGATAATTGTTAAAGCTAGGTGATAGGCACGCAAGAGTTTGTTCTACCAGACCCTCTCCTTTTGGGTAAAATTTCCAGAATAAACATTTTGGGGGAAGGTTCACTTGGCCCGGGTACCACCCGGCACTCCGGGAGGGAAGGAGGGAGGGTGGGGAGACTGCGCATATCATGTGGAGCCGAATTAAATTTAACTTCACATTTGATTTCACTGCCTGGCAGATGTCGCAGGGCCTTGGGGGACGGCACACTGTCGGTGTGGGTGTGAAACAGCGAACTAAAACAGAGATTTAGCAACTCAAACAAGGACAGAGTGGCAAAAGCCAGCTGCAAGATGCTGGAAAGGCAAGTCCTGATGCTCATAAGAAGCCAGAGGAGAGGACTCAGGGCCCCGAGCTCCGCCACACCCCTGCTGGGCCTTGAGGGGCCCCCTGGAAACCGAGGCTGCCCCTTCTCCCTCCCCAGGGGAAACTACGGTGTCCCCACTGCAGTTCCCCCTCGGTGCTACATATACTGTATAGGAAGAGAAGCCCCAGACCATGAGTAAAGGAAAATGCGATTTTTGTCTTTTTTTCCCACTGAAGTTAAAAAAAATATTTTAAAGTACTCTATCCCTGTCTTCGAAACCTTGTCTCTGCGGCCGGCCAGGGGCAGGCTCATCCCAGGTCTTGCTGGTTTGCCGCATGTACCACCCAGGGCAGGAGCGGACCACCATCCGCCGCGCCCCTGCCCACACACCCTCTACTTAAACTCCGGGCATTTCAGGGAGCACAGAACAGGGCAGGCCAAAGGACCTATTTGGATTGCGTGTTAGGCTGCCCCCTTGGGACTTAAGCCAGGCCCCTTGGCACTGAAAGCTGCTGAACCTCAGACAGGACCTTCCTGTCAAAGGTCAGTGTTTCATCTCAGACAGATGTCCCCGAGAAATATTACAGATCAGAAATCCAACCCTGAAGTTGCCTCGACTGTCCCACCCTTTTGGGCCATCGTTCCTCAGGAAACACTAACCCTCACACAACTTTCCCTGTTCTGTCTATAAAAGGTGTGTGTTTATCTGAGGGACAACCGGCCGGTGCAGCTGCGTCATAGCAAGTGCAGCCTCCCTCCTCCCCTGGACCCCCTGTCCCGACACAGTCACAAAAGGGGAGCCTCCGATCCCTTCCTCACTTGGACTTGGACCTTGCGTCTGACTCAAATCTAGAAGTGGTCTTCGTGGCCCAGTAATTATTTAGAGATCATAACAAATGTCCAGGAACATCCCCCTTCCTCCATACTTCAGGATGGAAGCACTTTGTTACCTTCCCACATTGGGGGCGCGATGGAGAGTGTTTATTATTTATCCTGTGTATTGGGTGGTAGAAACAAGGCTTAGAGGTCTCATTGACCAAGGACTCACATCTGAGGGTTAGAACCTGAGCCTTTGAACTTGCAATGGCCAGGTTGGAGAGAGCGAGACAGAGAGAGATTAGATATATAGCTATAGATGCAGAAACACATATAGATACTTTCACCCATACCATTTCTGCCCCACGTATGCACGTACAGATTTCCAACTATCTTCTCTTTCTCCT